AAGATAACTTCTTTCAGACCTAGTTTCTCTTTTTTAAAATGGGGTAGCATCACCTACTTAATAGGAATGTTTTGAGGATTATTAATATACAGGCAATCTTCACTCAGAGTTCCAATATGCATATATTTTATTTTGTCAGCATTTAGTTAAATAATACTAATCCACACTTTACTGCTAGATCTTCAACCCACATATAATTACATAAATAAATTTTTCCAGTGACCAACTAAGTCAAATCATTACATATCTGTTATTCAAAGCTGGACGTTGGTGGTGTACACCTTTAATCCCAACACTGGGGAGGCAGATCTCTCTGAGTTCGAGGCCAGCCTGATCTACAAAGTGAGTTCCAGGACAGGCTCCAAAGCAATACAGAGAAACCCTGTCTCGAAAAACAAAAAAACAAAGAATCTGTTATTCAGTCCATGTGCAAACAGCAAAGCATGTGAGTTGCATCTTTTTCTGTTGATGACACCTTAAAAAAATGAATATTAAAAAGGAACGGATCAACAATAGGGAAAGGGCAGCAAACTCCAGTCAATAGAAATTCCAAGCAAATAAACATGAAAATGTGTTGTGGGATATCTGTACACTGTTGAAGATGATTGCTGTGATTGATGTAATAAAAAGCTGAACTGCCAAAAGCTAGGCAGGAGGTATAGGCAGGACTTCTAGGCAGTAGGCGGAATCTAGGCATCCAAGAGAGATTCAAGGAGACACGGAGGAAGCAGGATGGACGGGTGGTATGTGACGATTAATACAAATATGTTAATTTAAGTTATAAGAATTAGTTAATAACAAGCGTAAGCTATAGGTCAAGCTTTCATAATTAATTAAGAAGTCTCCATGTCATCATTCTGTCTCTGCTGGCTGTCAGGACAGAAAAAAGACTTGTTACAGAAATGTGGATGGTTGATGCTGCTATCATTTAAGGGGCTAAAGATGTACTGTCTGAGGAACTCAGTTAAGGCAAACTTATCAACCTAATGAGCACAACAGTTATGGTGAAAAAGAGTGAAGATAACCCATAAGAATGATAGTGGCCAACAACAAACAAAACTAAGTCAATTCTAATTAAAGGAATCCTTGGAGGTATTTCACAATATGAAAAGTGCAAAGAATAAAATGCTAAAAGATTGTCCAAACTCAGAAAAAAAAATACATTCAAATACAAAGTCAATGCATAGGAAATACGTTCATTCTAAGTTATGTGAAGAGAAGGAACTACATTTGATAACGTTATTTTACAAAGAAATAAAATACTCTTGTGTATGTGGTGGCAGGGGAACATGTGGAAAGGTCAGTAGTGGACTCTTTGGGGAGTCAGTTCTCTCCCACCTTATAGATTTAGGGAACTGAACTCAGGTCACCAAAGATAGCAGGAAGTACTAGGTAAATGAGCCATCTTGCCAACCCTATTTGACAACAGTTTCTAAAGTTTACAAAACAACTATAACTTTTCTACTATGTATTATACAATTGCTTTGGGGCCACCAGGCCTGATGAATTGAGATTGGTCCCTAATTCATGTGGTGGAAGGAAAGAACTGACTTCTGCAAGTCATCCATCCTCTGGCCGCCATACAGTATAGCATGTACACATGCCCTCCACACATAAACAAACAAAATATTGTTAGTTCAGTTTTAGCTTGATTTGTTACTTGTATAGTCCAATACAAAATGGTACCACTTATCCCTATAACTTCTAGCACAACACTGAACTTGTTATTTCTTACCTAAAGAGACTCTCTTCCCTTCCCCCTGGCCCTTCCAATCTTTTCAAATAGAAAGAAATTTAAATCAATATGGGATGATAGCTTTTAGCAGGACAGTGGTTGCGCACGCCGTTAGTTCCAGCACTCAGGAGGCAGAGGGAGGCAGATCCCTGAGTTCAAGGCCAGCCGGGTCTACAGAGTGAGTTCCAGGATAGACAAGGCTACACAGAGAAACCCTGTCTCGAAAAACAAAATATATGGATATATAGATAGACAGACATAAAAATTAATTAAAAAAGAAGATAGCTTTCAGGACTGAAAGTTACCACTGCCACATCTGTGGTTCCCCAAACTCAATTATTATCCAAAATACACTGTAATGCTGAAAGATGGCTGAATAACTTGAATGTTCACTCAGTTTGTCTTTTGTGATCATATAGGTAGGATTTCATATTCTTCTCCCTTGAATGCAAGGGCAAAACAATAAGTGTAATAAAAGCAATGATGGAGAAGCAAACGTGCATAATAGATTTAGAATACAACCTCAATCTGAATACTGTTTCAGGACAACTCATTGCAACTTTACATAAATTATTTCTTAAAAATAGATGTTCCTGGACTGAAGAGATGTTTCAGCCATTAGAAGCTAGGCTGGCAACCAAAAATACAAGAAATATAAGTTCCTTCCAAGGATTGTGGCTCACTCCTATAATCCTAGCACTGGGGTTGCTAAGACAGGAAGAATACCAAGAGTCTGAGGTCAGCCCAGCCTACATACACATTGAACATCTGAAGTGTCTGGGTTATAGAAACCTTTTCACAAAACAAAACAAACTAAAATTTAAAAATAAATGAATATCTCAAGTTCTTAATCTGTGAAATGGGCATACTAATACCTTCAGAGAATTACTGTAAAACTCAAGAGATAAAACATATCAAAGGCTTAGCAAACTGTGGGACACAGAGAGCACTTAGATGATAGCTATTATTATCCTTAATTATACTCTCATTAAAACTGACTGACGTAAATGTGATAGAGCTGCACTTGTCAGGAGTGCATAGTTAAGATGTATTAATTAGCTTTTGCTTGCTTGCTTTTCACGTGTTTGTTTGCTTGCTTGTTTGTTTGAGAAAGTGTTCCATGTAGCAGAGTCTGTACTTGAACTCCTTATTTTCCTGCTCCCACCTCCCAGATGCTGGAATCATAGACTTATGCCAACACCCTCAGCTTTTTAAATCTGTATAGTATTCAATACTCACACTCCAAATTCTGATAGCTATCCAGACAATTTCTGACCAGCTATGGTCAGACAATTTGGCTCAACCTCCTTCAGGCATTTTCTCCCAAGGTATATACACAAAGTGTTCCCAACACACTGATTTATGCTCTCCATGCAACTTTTTGGTGGCTATGTCAAAACCTTCCTTCAGTCTACTCAGTTTCCTCTTCGGAGGACATAAAGAAGTAAAGCCATTTCCTATTTCTCAGAGCTATGTGCCAAAATACTACTATCTTCCTCTCTCACAGTTCACATGGCTCAACTGCCAGTTTTCTCTGTTGATTCTAATCTAAAACCTTGATTCTGAACTAAAAGTCTTTTTTAACCTGCATAGATTAACAAAACTGAATAAGGTTAGTTCCTTTACTACACAGTTTCTCTTAAAATAAATGACTTAGATGAGGAATGCCTATGTTAGAACATTCTTTCGATGACAAAAAGCTCTTGCTTCCTTACCTCCCCCGGCACCATGCCAAATTGTTCCAAGACAGTATCACTGGTTAGAAAGTTTTCCCTTGTGGTGAAGCAAAAATCTTCCATCCACTGCCCCCAATTCTATATTCTAGAGAAAGTGAGTGAACTTCAAACCCATCCAATATTTGAAGATTCCTAAGAGGGGAAAAATAAAAAGCTACACCCTTCCAGTTCAGAGAAGATGATTTTAAGTCTCCCTGGTGGTCATGAGCCTCTGATATTCTTGCCAAAGCTATGTAAAAACGAACTGGCAAAGTGATTCCTTTGCCAATGTTTGGGTTGCCAAGTAATTACCCTATAAATGATTGTTTTGCCCGTTTTCTCACTTACTGTATAAAAACTATTCATTTAAACTAGTAGTTCAGAAAAAAAAAATGATGCTCAATCTATGAGACTAACATCCTGAAAATTGTAAGACTTTCTGCGGGATCATCTGGCATGAAACTCAACATCGAGAAGAACCCAAGAATGGGAATATTAGCTAAGGAGAGTTTTGCCTCATGGCCTAGTAAAGTGGGTTTATTCAAAAGAAGGCAGTAGCAGCCAAAGACTATTCTCTGCTCTTTGCCAGAAACAAACAAACAAAAAGAATGACCAAACACTGTACTCTCAAAAGATGACCAAACTGGATGGAAGAAATAGCAAATTTCTTTCTAGCCTGGTAGGAATAATCATCTAGGAAACGAGAGACAGAGACGGAGACAGACAGACAGAGAGCATGACCCAAACCTGGCCAGCAATGCGGGTCTAGCAGCAGCAAATCGCAGACTCTGAAGGCACATTCGTGGAAATAAGTGTCCTCAGATGACCATTAACCCCTAGAAAGTCCGATAAGCTAGACACCGAGGGGAGCGAGATTTAGTCTCTCGTGCTCTTGGGAGAGTGGCTGGAGCAGGCAGTGATTAGGTGCTCTGGCTTCCACTTCTGGTGCAAGGTGAACAGCAATCGCTGGCACTGGCAGACACCAGACTAGGGGTGGGAGTTGGGGGGGCGGGGGGGTCGGCTAAGAGAAACGGTAACTGCTCCCTGGAGGTGAGCGTGGTCTATTGAGAACGGAGACTTGAATGGAAGGAAGGGCCGTGAAGAGTTTCTTAGACGGGGAGAGGATGAAGACAGGAAGCGTCCCCTTCGTGTCCGGCTAGCTGGGGCGGGTAGCAGCAGTCGGGCTGGCGTCCCAGGCCCTCACCGCAGAGACCTCCTCAGCCCCGACCTCGGGACAGACGGCGCTGGGCCTGGCCGCAGCAGCGCTCAGGTAGGAACTCCAATTCCCAGGCGCGCCTCACTCTGTCCTCTAAGGTCCAGGCGCGGCTCCCACGTCCCTTCCGTCCCCAACCCGAAGGCCCCCTGAAGCCAGCCCGGGCAACCCGGCAGCGGCGGCGGCTCCCCGGCTTCCCCGGGCCGCGCACGCCCAGCTGCCGCTCCCGGGCTCGGCCTGGAGCCTCCCCTCGCGGCCAGGTTCGCCCTCCGCGTTCTCCACCCGCCGCGTCGCCCCTCGGCGCGCGCTCTGGCTCCCCGCCTCAGGCCCCACTCACAGAACTCAGCGATGAGCAGGGTCACCGCATAGTTCTCCTCACACCAGTCCAATGTGGAGGTCGTGGGGCCCCAGTAGCCTTCGCGGTCCACAGCTGGAGCCATCGCGCCGCCGCCCCACAATGTGACCGGCCGCTCCCGGGCCGGCTCAGGCTACGCGCGCTCTCCGGCGCCCTCCTCCCTGCCCAGAAGGACAGGGGCGGGGCTAGAGCCGTCACTGGACCTGCCCAGCGGCAGGCCCCGCCCACAGCGCCTCCGGACCGCCCCTCCTTCTGCACAGCCCCGCCCACCGCATCCAGAGCAGGCGCACAGAGCCATCCAGAAGGCGCCGGTTGACCCTGTCTCTCCTGGGCTCCTGGAGTAGTGAACTACGGGAGGAGGTGGGAAAGTGGGAAACCTGGACGATCTTGACAAGGTTGGAGGCAGCTGGCACTCTTTTCTGTCTGGACAGTTTCAAGCCTCTCTTAGTGTGTAGGCGGTCTGGTTTAATTGGGGCGAGAATGAGATGAAACCTTTGTCAAGCCCGGGCTAGATTAAACTTGCACAGCTAGGTGTCTAACTTTGGCCACAGGCCTCCAAGGAGGAGACCGAAAAGAGCATTCCTTGCCAGCTCCAGCGATTCCCGGGAAGTCACCCTGAGTGTGCTGTGGCGACAAAAGAAAGGGGCAACAACTGAGAATGGACAGAATAAAAAATAGGTGTTGGCATCCTTTAAAAGTATATGCTGAAGGCCGGGGCCGTGGTGGCACACGCCTTTAATCCCAGCACTCAGGAGGCAGAGACAGGTGGATCTCTGTGAGTTCAAGACCAGCCTGGTCTACAGAGCGAGTTCCAGGATAGTCTCCAAAGCTACAGAGAACCCTGTCTCAAAAAACAAAACAAAAAAGAAAGAAAAAGAAAAGTATGCACTGAGTAAAGCACTAAAAGTTCGTGACTTCTCTTTGTGTGTCTATGCATAGCATTTTCTGTCTTCTTACAAGAGCCTACTCCCTTGTAAACCACCAGCCTCCCGCTGCTTCCAGCGTCAGGACTGGAAGACAACTCAGTCTCCAGATTGGGCTATCAAGAACATAAACACAGGTCTGTGGATGGCTCGATCCGGTTTGGCAAAAGGTATTTACCATTTGAGTCTGGCAGGCTGAGTCTTACCTCAAGAACCATGTAAAAATGCAAGAGGACTGACTTCACCAAGTTGTCCTCTGACCTCCATACAGGCAACATGGCAAACATGTCTGCACACACACATACACAACAGCAACAATAATAATAATAAGAAAAAAAATAAAATAATAGACACATCCTGTTGCCCTTTGTGTTCAGTTGAAGACCTCCCTGACTCTCAGTGCCAAGAGACATGCCTCTAAGAATAGAGACCTTGCTTTCTCAACTTTGTGATCCAGTCTACAAGGTTCTACCTGGACTCACTATACAAAACAAAGAGTACAGGTAAAGAATTATACAGTTGTTGCTTTCTAAGTGAGTCAGATGATCCACAACCACAGGGAAAAGGAAAGATGTGCATCATTAGTCACGTGGAATGTCACATGGGTTTATCAGAGGTAATCCATAGTCAGTCAAGGTACATCTGTATTTGCCTTTAAAAAAAAAAAAAATTAGTTCATCGAGGTAGGTGGTGGTGGCAAACACCTTTAATTCCAGCACTCAGGAGGCAAGGGCAGGCAGATCTCTGAATTTGAGGTCAGCCTGATCTATAGAGCAAGTTCCAGGACAACCAGGTTACACAGAGAAACCCTGTCTCAAAAAGAAAGAAAGAAAGGAAGGAAGGAAGGAAGGAAGGAAGGAAGGAAGGAAGGAAGGAAGGAAGGGAGAGAAAGAAGGAAATTCCATAGTCTGTTTTTCTTCTCCATATGAAATATAAATTATGTTTACCTTTGGCCTGCATGCATATATACCAGCACATATACTCACACATGATCATGTTACATGGGAACTGACAAAAATGAATTGTACATCTATTAGAAACCAAGACTTCAGGTCGCGTTAGGGATACAGAGTAGAATAGCAAAACTCCTGACTTTTAACCTGATACTAATTTAACTGCCAAAATGAAATGTTACAAGACACCCTGACCAAGTGAGCTAGCAAATTCACTTTACAATAAATGCTTAATAAACACCTACTGTGTGTCAGACAGTATTGTAGGCAATTGAAAGAAGACAAAACAGATATACATACCAAATGGGTCCAAATGGCTGTTACAATCATAGTACCTAATACTTACAAATATGCACTCTGCTCCTATATAGTTGTGAAATCTAACAGTCCTACAAAGTACTGCCCTGTGCTATAAAGTACTACCTTGATCCATATAGTGACACTAACCTGGTGAATTAGAAATGTCTCTCTAGGACACCCAGATAACAAGCACCTGAGCTGAGTTTGGAACCTAGGCAGTCTAGTGTAAGGCCATTTTTTTTTATCTCCTATGTGTAGCTGATCTTCTAGGAAGTCAGAGAAAGGGGCTCTGGGCTGAGCTGACAAGACTACTGTGGGCTCTCTAAGGGCCAGCATTATGTTGGGTTTCACCTTCCACCTGGTTTGGAAAAATAAGGCTTGGCAGATCTTCAGGGACAATTCCATTTGGAGCCCAAGGGGTTTTAAGCAAGAGCTTGATTTAGATATATTTGATGAAGGGAGGGAAGATAACGTTGATGTGGCTACATTTGCCAAAGGGAAGGCAGATCACATTGCCGAAGAGAGGGAAGGTCAACATAACTGGGCAAGACCTGGAGCTCTTGAGCTAGAGCAGCACTATGATGAAGAAAGGCACATTTTCCAGATTACTAACACGCAAAAATCAACAGGATTTGCAAAGAACATGAAGGGTTAAGCAAGAGAGGTGAGATGGAGATTTGGGCTCTAGACATTCTCTGCTGCTGGAAAGAGCAGAAAAGAAATCTGGCTGCTGTGAGTTGGGCAGTGTGTAAGAGAGTGTGTGGAGAGACATTTCTGGGCAAGAAAACAGCCTGCAAGGGCTTGAAAGGGCAAGAGAAAGGAGAATAGAATGAGGTGTTTAGAGTGTCGCCCTTGCATGCAGAGGTGGGGGCAGGGCAAGAACAACTATTGGCCTGAGGACTGAAAGTCCGGCCTAATGTACTGTAGTGAGACCCTTACTGTGTATCCTAGCAAGGACAGAGTGGGGGCAGGAGTAAAATGTCCAAATCTGTGGGCTAGGCAGAATAGGTTCCCAGGCTCTGGGGGGGGGGGGTCTTAACAGTCGGGCAAGATGGGAAGAAGAGAAGAATCAGGCAAGTCAAGAGGCTGTGGTAACAATTTTGACAAAGACTGGCCGGGTCATGTTAAGTTGTAATACAGCCTCGGGCAATTCTTGTACCAGCTTTCCAGAACAGACCTTCAGAGCTCACTGATTTGTGAGAAACAGGAGAGCAGAGGTGCCCTGATCAGCTAGTGTGCCACCCTGGGAGATAATCACTACACAGGACCAGAGCTTGCAAACCTTTGGCTAACCACCTTGAACATGATAACGAAACAACATCTCAGGGTTTTGAGTATTCACTAAATAACCCCAGATGAATTGTTTCATTTTGAATGAGATTATAGAAATGTCAACAATATGAAAACAACCCAGGGATTCTTGCCCTATGAATAGGAAAGCCTCCGCTCAACATCACCTAGGAGCCAACCCTCTCAGTCTCTGACCTCAGAAGGACCATTTACACATGAGTTCTTCAGATCTGCCTCAGGGATGTCAGTTACCACCTCGGTGCTGGCTTGAATCACAATCTCTAACCCACATCTCTCTCCAGGGCTTTAGTTCTTGAACCAATTAGAATCATATTTTTGCTACAAATGGCAGAAAAATAGTTTCAGCACCTTAACTAAAGGAAAAAATTTTCAGCTGGATGTGGTGGCACACACCTTTAGTTCCAGCACTCCGTAAGCAGAGACAGGCCTAGTCTACAGAACAGAGAAACCCAAAACAAACAAACAAACATAAGGGAATTTTTTTCTCATGTAGTCGGCTACCTAAGTTCCTACCTCAGCTGCACAATGCAGAATGTCTTCTTGGTCTCACTATAGGGCTTTCAGCCCGTGGTCACAATGTCAAGCATCCAACTGTGATCCTGCAGGAAGAAGGAAGGGCAAGGATGGGGCAATCAACACATACCAAGCTGGGCCTGTCCTTTCTTATCAGGAAAACAATATTCTTTCCAGAACCTTTACCCGGGATATCCATTTAGAACTATTTGGCCAGGAGCTCAGAGATAATGACAGATAGTCTGGGAGACTGGCAGAAGAGTCTGGGAAAGAGTGTGAACTGGGCTGTCACCCCAAATAAAACATACCTGTTAGGGAAGAACTCATCCAACTGATGATCTAAGTAGTTCCACTGTATATTTCACAAGGCTCTCAAATTTAGAGCGTTTTTAAAACTGCCCGGCCACTTCCCCCTGCACGCTGGCTTCTCTGACAATGGTTTCTTTACTATGGTGTTGAAATACAGAGCCTTCGACTCAGCTTGCTGAAGAAAGAAGGTATGATTGACAGCCAGTTCTCCTACCCTGTCACATCCGATCAGTGACCAGCTCCTGTGGATCTCCTCTCTGTCCATGTCCCTCCTCCGTCAGCCTTGATCACTGCAGGCCCTCATTGTCTGTGCTGTAACAGCCCCAAAGAAACTCTTGTTTTGTCCCATCTCTCAACCTCTTCTCTATATGATGGCTGCCAGAGGACCTGTTCTTAAACTCAAAACTAGCAACTAGCAACTCTAAGTACTATCTCTGTGATTTTCCACCACCTATAGAATAAAGTCCAAACCTTCTGACATGACTCACAAGGCTTTGTCACCTGATCCCTGCCAACCTCTTAGGCCTTGTCATAATATTTCTAAAATATTTCCTCTCCCTCTGAAAAGGTCTGTTTGTCTCCTCTTACTCCCGGGCATGTGGGCATTGCCCCTTAACCTCCAAGCTCTCCTTTCCTTTCTTCACCCTGCATCTTCATTGCTAATTTTTTCTAAATTCCAGGTCTCCACTTAGACTTGACTTCATGAGGAAACTCGCCAATCCCTCTGTAACTTCTCTCTCTGCACTGTGATCATCTGTCTCCTGTGTCCCTCACCAAAAGGTCCACCCACCCTCAGACTTCCAGCAAACCTGAAGAAGTGGACTTCAGAAACCCTAAGCCAGGCTAACAGATGGCCTCGAGACAA